AGAAAGTCATCAGATGGCTCAGACTGTATTCAGATCAATGAAATAACAGTCCCTGTCCATCTGATAGATTTGAGGTCATCAGGGTCAGATCAGGATCAGATCAGGTTCACTACAGTCCCCCCTTTGGAAATCATCACCTGTCCATGGGGATGAATTCCAACCGTGAACTTAGACCTTCAAATGTCCTTGAGCTTGATGTAATCCAGCAAGGAAGACCAAAGTCAGAAGTAATCCATCAAGGAAGACCAAAGTCAGAAGTAATCCAGCAAGGAAAACAAAAGTCAAGGTAATTCCACAATGTTCTTGGTAATCCCATTGTGTTGATTATAATTCCATATCGTCTCGATAATTCCATTGTGGCAATGCTTTAACCCCTTGGAAACAGAGTCTGTAATCCACTGGAAAAAGTCATATAATCCACAATGGTAAATCCACAACGATTGGAAGTGTTGATTAATCAGCATACAGAGGGGTACCCTTGGATTGAACTGAAGAAGCGGCCACTGGATGAAGAGTTGAGACCAACGTCAGGATTGCAGGTCGCCTCCAGCGAAGGTTGTCTCCAGCGACGTCCAGCCTGTGCCGTTCTGGTTCAATGTGTCATGCAATTATGTGGTTTAAGGTGGGCTTATGAAGGGGATTTTACATAAGGCCTTAAACTATATGCATCTGGTGTGTAAGCTATTATGGTTGGGAACAGCTACAACTACCAGTTAAGGGGTGGAGAATGCTGAAAAGGGGTAACTACAGGGGTTTATGCCTATAGAAAAGTGTTCCAAACTATTTTTCCATTTCTAACTTGGTTTAAGTTAGCTTTACATGGTAAAATATAGTTTGGTGTAATTGTCTGTTGTCTTTTAGACGAACGACTTGAGATTGGGTGTTTGGTTTTCCCATAAAATGTTTTGGAAGTCTATGGCGAGACTTATCAAAAAGAATTAGCTATCCCCCCGAATAGAATTGTTCGAGTAGGTTCGGCTTAAGCGTTTTGAGATCAACGTAGATTATGGTACTCAAAGTAGCAATAATATACATTGACTCCGCAAAGATTGCAATTTAATGAATGAACTGCATGTTGGCATGGTCAAAGGCTTCTTAGTCTCTAACTTACTACACAACAAAATTCATTCTTACCTCAGAAACAATACCAAAATCAACTAAACAACGTTTCAGCACCGACAAGAGTAGTGACTAAGCATCTAGAAACATCGTTTCACTGCTTCTCCTCACCCTGGTTGCCAGATTTCAGTCACGCTGTCCCGTTTTATCAAGGGAAGGTCCTGTGAATTTAAACTATGGTTAAGTTTATTATCCATTAGTTATCTTCTGCTTGGATGACCCTTGTTCCCACGAGGTCAGATTTTGTGAGATCTTTGTCTCCTGAGGAGTTATTGCACGCCTTGTGTTGTTTAATCTGGTTACGATGTACCCATTTAACAGTTGGCTCTTTTTGGCCTTTACTGATTTTTATCTGGTAGATAATTGGAGACACTTTGTCGATTATCAGATGGGGTCCAGTCCATCTGGGCATCAGCTTACGGGCGAGAGTTCCGGTCCCGGACTCTACTCTCCCAGTTTTGGGTGCAAACGTGTAGTACCAGACCCTGTCTCCCACTTGGAGTTCCTCGTAAGAGGCCTTTTGGTCGTAGTACGCTTTGCGTCCTTCAGCTGATTTTTCCAGGTTTTTCTGTGCGAAAGCAAAAGTGTTTTTAAGGTGTCTTTCCAAGTCTTTCATGTATTGTTGTGTGGTGTAGGCTGTTGCCATGGCAGCATCGCCTGGTTGGTACAACAGGTGCAGAGGGAGAGTCATTTGTCGACCCGTCATCATCTCGAAAGGAGCGATGCCAGTCGACGTGTGTGGAGTGGCCCTTATGGCCATGAGGACAAGAGGGAGTTTCACGTCCCAGTCCTTGTGGTTTGCGGCTACGTATTTTTTCAAAATACTCACCACCGTCCTATTTGCTCTCTCAACCTGGCCTGAAGCCTGTGGGTGGTAGCCAATATGGAAGTTGGCTTTGACGCCTAGCGTCTTCCACAGTTCCTTCATTACTTCACCTGTGAAGTGTGTACCTTGGTCTGAGTTCACCCTAAGGGGAAGTCCAAACCTTGAAAATACATGATTCATTAATAACATAGCAGTGGTTTGTGCTGTGTCATTAGGGGCTGGTAGACATTCTACCCATTTGGTAAACGCGCAGGTTACCGTGAGAAAATATTTATTTCCTCTAGAGGTCTTAGTGAGTGGTCCGACCCAGTCAATCTGGAGGTCCGACCATGGAAATGCAATGCCTCTACTATGCAGTGGTGCTCTGTGAAGTGGTCTGGATGGTTGAAACTGGCCACAGATCAGGCACCCTTTTATGTAGTCCTTGACATCCTTTTTCATTCCAGGCCAATAAGCAATTTGTTTTAATGCTTTCAGCGTGGCATTGTCACCCTTATGTCCTGCGGACGGAAGGTCATGTGCATGGACTAACATCACCCCCCTGTGGTCATGGGGGACCACGAACACAGGTGAGGACGTCCGTCCATGAGCGAAAGTTAGGATGCCTTTAAGTAGTTTTAGCTGTTTGCGCAGCTGAAAGAGGACTTTGAGGTCTGGATTGGAATCCAGCTCGTCTTTCGATGGAGTGTATTTGTCTGGGTCAGTCAGATACAGCATCATCGAGTTAATTGCAGGATCCAACTTCTGAAGTTGGATGATGTCTGGGTCAGTCAGCATTGGGCGCACAGAAACTGTGTTATCAGCAGGTTTAGCTGCAGCTTGTGCACGTGTGACTGCCATTACCTCAGTTGTAGCTTGTGACGACTGAGTGTTGAGTAGCCAGGAGGGGTCGAAGGACCACGTGGGTCCGTCAACGGCTCCTTCTTTGGCTAGGGAGTCTGCAAGGTCATTGTAGTGCTTGTCATCGCCTGGGACTCTGGAGTGTCCTGGAACTTTCTTCCAGAAGATCTGTAGATCATGTGACGTCACTAAGTGATCACATGTCATGAAAAGCTCTTTGTGTTTTACCACCTTTTTGTTGCTTGTGAGAAAACCGTTCTGTTTCCACAGAGCGAGATGACACAAGAAACTGAGTCGAGCATAGTTAGAGTCAGTGCAGATGACTAGCGTCTGGATGGAGCGTTCTACTGCCATCTGTAGGCCTATTAGGATTGCAGCTATCTCAGCGTACTGAGAAGACTGAGAGCCTAATTTATAGCCAAATGTGACCTGTTCTTGGTCCTGGAGGAGAACTCCTCCAACACCTGCTTTGCAGATTGTCTCGTGGTGGAATGAGCATCCATCCACGTACATTGTTGCCATATCTTTGCAGATATTGCTATCAAAGAAGTGGTGATTTGGGTCCTCAGCAGCTGAGGGTTTGCTCACAACCGGCTGTTGGGTGGCTGGTACATCCTGTGTACATTCTTGGCAGATTGCCAAATCAGTGCCCAAGTACGACTTCTTATTTTGACCGTAGCGGATGTCTAGGTTAAAACTTTGAAGTGCCATTAGCCATGTTGCAACGCGTGAGTTTGTCACCACACCATCTCTGATGCGTTGGCTGTTCAGAAACGTTACTGGCTGGTGTTGTGTCTCAACAATAATCCTCTGTCCACCAATATAGCAGGAGAAATGTTTCACTGCCCACACAGTGGTCAATAGAGCCTTCTCACAGTCTGAATACCGTAATTCAGGGCCTGCCATTGTTTTGCTGGCGTAGGCCACAACACGCCTGTCTTTGTCGTGTATTTGGTACAGACCTGCACTCATGCAGTAAGTTGAGAAGCCCACTTCCAAGTAGAACTCTTTGTTGTAGTC